TGGAACAACTTAGTCTCACAGCCAAGTGCCACATCTCTGAGGCACAGTTTAGTGTTACAGCTGTGGGTCTCAGCTATCACAATTTGAAGACTCAAGAATCTGATGGCCACTTGAGGTGGAGAAAAACCTTTATTGGGGGTGGAGGCTCAAAGGAGTTTGTACTCTGAAGTCTGAGCACCTCGACAGAAACGAGAGCCTCCTTATATAGGGATCGACAGAGTAGGCAAGCATGCTCACTGAAGCAGTGGGGGCGGAGTTACAGAACACTCCTGAAACACATGCCTTTTGAGCATGCTCACTGAAGCAGGGCGGGTGGAGTTACAGAATGTTCCTGAAATGCAGTGGTCGAGCATGCTCCCAGAAGCGAAGAGGCCGAGTTACAGGACATTCCTGAAAGAGGCGGGGCTACCAACATTCCTGGGAGGGGTGGGACTAACAACATTTCTAAAAGGGGCGGGGCTTAACATTCCTAAGAGGTCAGGAAGTTCAGACAGAAAACATTTTGATACATTGGACAGGTCACTGCCAAGTGGCGCAAATTGCTCCATTTCTAGAACAAAACATTGGTGGGGGGGAACAGACGGACATGGAAGCCAGGCAAGGGTCTGTCTTACTGTATAGTATTGCTCTATCAACCTAAATGTTATTAACTTCAGGATTTTTTTTTTAAAGCCCTCGTAACTTTTCAGCAGCACTGATACATTGGTGACTCTTACTCTTTCTGGTGCTGGGGATGGAACCCAGGGTTTTGTGCAAGCTAAACAGGTGTTATACCACTGAGCTGTTACCCCCAGCCCGTCTCTTTCGAAAACTCTTCCTTTGCCTTCTGGTTCCTCTCCCCTCTCTCTGACCACCTGTGTCCTATTAAAAGCTTTTCTCCTTGGCATGGTATATGACTTGGAGGAGTTCCTTCCTTCCCATTACCCACTATATCTTCCTTAGGTGATCCCACCTGGGATGCTGATGACACCAAAGTTTATGTCTTCTTTTCATTTGCCTTTTCAGGAGTGCTGCACCCATGTGTAAGTGCCCTTGGGCCATCTCTGGTTGTTCTCAAGGTTACTTGGAGTTAATGCGTTCAAAACACACCTCATCAGCTTGACACCCCACCTTCAGTGAGCTCTACCTCCATGAAGGTCACCGTGGGTTCTGCCAGCAGAAGTCCAGTGCTGTCCTTGGCACTGCATGCTCTCCCTTCTCATATTCAGTCTGTCACCTTGGTTTGCCCTGCTCCCAAGCCCACATCTGTCTTGACCTCTGCAGTTGCTCCCTGAGTGTCCCTTCCCATTTTCATCTGCTTCTGTGGTTCCAGTCTGCACTTCCCTTTGAAGCCTTCAGTGTACTCTTGACTGTGTCAGTCCACCTGTTAGGCTGTATCTGCAAGACCATCCCTGAGAGTCAAGACCTGATCGCAGGGCCTGGTCCACATAAGGACAGAGTAGCCCTGGGTGAGGATTCACTGAATAGGCAAATGAATCCTCAGAAAAAGTAGTCTGTCCCCAGTCCTCTGGCCAGAAGGCTCAGCTTCCCTGTCTTCTCAAGTGCACAGCTGTGGCCATGTTAGTGTGAGAGTCCATACTTGGACCACAGACCTGAGGGTGTAACTATTTCCTGTTCTCTGCTACAAAGCTCTCCTTTACTATTAGTGGAAGAACATGGCTCTGGGCCTTTCAGTTTTGTGTTTCTATGCTGATCCTGTAAATATATACATACAGGAAGGCCACAGTTGACAAGCTGTGGCTTGTGGCATTTGAAGCACTCGCAGCAAACCATTGTAGAACACTTTTCCTACTGGTATGCTAAGTGCTTTAGGAGTTGGGATTTTAGACAGTTATTTTCATTCTTCATCCAAGCTTTAGACAGAGGAAGAAGGAAACCACATTTCAAAAGGCCAGTGACTGTGCTGCATACTTGACATGAAGGCAAGTGGAGGTTTACACAGGATGGTATTCAGTGGGACCAGTGACTGGCTATATGCCCAGAAGCAGAGCTCTAGAAAAGGGAAGACCAGCCAGGGACATCCAACAGTGCTGTTCCTTATTGTATCCATATGGGGTTGGGACCATCTGCCATCCAGCTCCTACCTTCTCTACAGTAATTAAATAAAACTTTATAGTTTTATTTGGGCCCCTCAGGTGTATAAAGCACAGCTCAATTCACAGGGGGCTGCTGACTCGTCCTCTTGAGTGGGCCAGCGTTTTCACATTTACTGTACAGAAGCCCAAGACTACCAGGACTTACATACCCACAACATGTTGGGTCCACATCCCAACCTGCAAGCTGCATACTGGTTTTGAGTTGTTTTATTCCAAGGCTCAAAAATGAACTTTTCCTCAATTACCAAGAAAACCCAGAGTTAATACTTTATCTGGGGCTCATTGACAGGTAAAGTGGTCATACATTGCAGAGACCAGCAGTCTATCACTGATCTACATTGTGGTCCCTTACTCAGAAAGTTGCAAGAAGCTTAGCCCTGACCTCATGCTGGTGGGTATAGCACTCTCAGGCCATTCTGTGTGGTCCAGGCAGGGAACAGAGGAGTAAAGGAAATGCTGGGGTGCCAGCTCTGGTGGTCACCTGCAGAGGCACGATATGGGCCCCAGGATCTTCTGTCCATCCCTTCTCCCCCAGCAGCCTATAGCCTACTTGCAGTTGAAGTTTGGGAAGAAGTGATAGCTGCTGTGGGAGATCTTCACTGGGTAAGGAAGAGAGAAGCCCTTTTCTCTAGTGACAAAGTATGATTTTTTTATACCTTTTTGTGCATTTCTTCTCCAAGATATTTACTGATATCTTCTCCAAGATATTGCCATTCTGTGATAACTCAATAATGAGGAATACAGAGGAAAGCTGGGATGGGTGGTTCCCATCTTCCTCTCTGCCTTTTCTAGCACTATACTTTTTGGCCTCAGAGAAGCAGCCCTGTTGTTTGCAGAACTGTGCGTATACAGCAGACCTTTTGGTAATGGATTTTTCAGTCCTAAACAGTGAAATAACTAGTGAGATCATGGCCAGAAGACCTGCTCTCAAGATGTAGCTTCCCCTCAGGAAGCACTCCTATTTCAAGGCCTGACTCTTCCCCACAGGGCCTTTGAGTTGGGGTAGGAGACAGAGGCACAAGTGGCTATTTAGGGTTCACTTGGGCTTACTATTTAATGGCCTCAGAGTTCTTGGCCCCCAATTTACACCTTAACACTGTCCCTAGTGAGTGCCTTCTTAGGTTTGGGCTTTATTTTGATCTGAAATGTCATGTACAACCATTAATTGCCCCTTCCCTGGAGCCTCAGGAGCCGTGCTGTCCTTCTATTTCAGGACATTGCGTGTGTCCTGGATGTGTCTCCTCTTCCTAGAGGACCTAGGTGGGTGCAGGAGCAGCAGCTCCTCCCCGGCTGAGGTGGGGTCTTTCTGGAGGAAGCAAGGCCAGGAAGGCCCAGGTCCCACAGCCAGGCAGCCAAGACACAGGAGCTTCTGCTGTGAGGCACGGTGAGGCCAGGCACGTCCACAGCCCTACCAGAGCTGCTTCTCTTTCAGGGAGCAGAAGGGGCAGCTGCGGCAGGAAGAGGAGGTTTATCTTCCTCCAGAAATGAATGTGACCTCGAGAGAAATGCTGACGTTGACCTCGCACAGAGCTCCACATGTTATTAAAAAGCTTCCTGCCCTGCTGCAACAAAGCTAATGTCTTTGGCTCTTTTATCAGCCACTTAGTCATAAGGACCATTTAGAGTCCTAGAAGGAGTTGGGAGGCTACACGAAGCCCATCTCCCCAGAACAGCTGATTGCCAGGCCTAGACTGGCCTGGCCTGGCCTGATGCTCACCAGTTATATAGACACATCCTCACAACTCTGAGCCTCAGTCTGTGTCAACCCCACCTGCTCCTTTTCTCTGAGCCATGGGTACCCCATCTTGGTATAAGAAATAGCAGTTTGAGCTGGGCCTGGTGATACACACCTGTAATCCCAGCACTGTGGGAAGCTGAGGCAAGAGAATCACAAGTTCAAGCCTGGCCAAGACAACTTAACAAGACCCTGTCTCAGGACTTTAAAAAGGGCTGGTGATGTAGCTCAATGCAAAGGCCCTGCTTTCGAGTCCTAGTACCTCAAAAAAGAAAAGAAAAAGTTTTTAAAGAGGTATTGGGAAAACTGTTCTTGTTTAGTTTGTAGCATTTATATAAAGTGTGTGAATTTCCAAAATTTAAATGCATAGTTTCATTTTCATTTTCAAAAGAATTCTTGCAAATAAGGGTAAAGATTACATACCAGCTAAGTGGCCATATAGTAAAATATGTTATTTGCATATATACAAATACTTTTGATTTACACATGAAATAAGGGACCCCTTAAAGTTGTGATGAACCTCAGAAGTGACAGGGAGTACACAGCCCAGCGTTAAAATTGTTTTTATAACTGTGAATGGGTGGTGGTGGAAACTGCAGTGGTTATCTGTGGGCCATGATGCTGAGGCCTGACCAGGCTCTCCTTTGCTTTTTGCCATTGCTGTACGTCAGTATCTCAAGTGGGATAATGTCTTTGTGTACTCATGCTCTGAGATACATGCTAACTTCACGGATCTTTTAAGTACTTGAGCAAACAGTGGGGAATGAGTTGCATTTTAATAAATGATGCTTTAAACCTAATTGATTGTCACCCACATCCTGCAGTCTGTGCTCTTACCACAGCCAGGCATAGGAGAGGCCAACCTCAGTAGCCTGGAGGCTTCTTAGTATATGGAGCAACTTATACTTCACGTCACAAGCCCAGGTGTAACATGTGGGGCAGTAGTATGCACGTGGTGGTAGGAAGAGGGGATGCATAACAGGTCCAGATGTGGACACCAGACCTTGGGACATAGCCTTCCAACATGCTTTGGTCCCTCCAGAGCTCACCTTGCCCAAGAATTGATTTTGTTTTGGAGGCCACATGTTGTTAGAGGCTCTGCCCTCCTTAACACCTCCACAGAGGATCATATTGTGTGCTGCTTTAACTGTTTGTCTTCTTTCCCTCAGAATATTGACATCACAAACTTCAGCAGCAGCTGGAATGATGGGCTGGCCTTCTGCGCACTCCTGCATACATATCTTCCAGCCCACATTCCATATCAAGAACTGAATAGCCAAGATAAGGTAAGACAGGCCACAGGACCCCTGGTCCTCTCACAGAGCGAGGGCTTGAGAACCAGGGCTAGCACCTTCCATCAGTGGGTCACATACCACAGTGTGGGCTCAGGACTGCTCCCTTCTGGCTCAACCTCATTCTGAGGTTGGTCACTTGTGCTCAGCCAGCTGGACCCCAACCCACCCTGTGAGGAATATTTGATTGGTTCAAAATTCTTCACATGACATCATTCCCAGGGGGTGACATCATTCCTTCCACTGTGACAACATTTAGACCAAGGGCTTCAAGAATAGACAGGAAGAGCTATTTATGCCATGAATGGTCAGGTCAGTATTGTCCAGAAAATGCCAGCTTCCTGTTACCTCTGGACCAAGACTTTCACTCACAGCCCACCAAGCATTGTGGGTCTCAGAACTGACGAGAAACACCAACCCTGTGCAGGCGCAAGCCATGATTTGGGGTATCACATCCAGGGAGCTCCTCAGGGTCAGGGGACAGGCTCAGGTCCCCTGCCCTGGTCCCCCACCTCTCACCATGGCTGTCCCTGGCCCTATAGACAACCCTTGAAGATCCTCACAGGGAGAAAACCCTTTTGGTAGATGTGTGTCAACATCAGGGGTAACTGATGGTCTGCATGCTGGAAGTGAACCTCTGAGTGAGGAAAGCACCAGTGTGACAGCTGTACAACTGGCTGGAGAAGAGGGTGGCAGGGCCCACTATGGGGATCCACAAGGTACTGGGTACAGACCAGGAATCCTGAGGGACCCAGTGTAGGTTTGTTTTGGTTCCAGAGTCGAGTATCCGTCCTCCGTGTGACCTTTCTCCTTGTGTTCCCTGTGCACTACAGCGACATGATTTCTCTTACAGAAAAGGAACTTCACACTGGCCTTCCAGGCAGCTGAAAGTGTTGGCATCAAATCCACACTGGTGAGTCCCCGGTCCCCACTGGGAAGTCCCTGGCAGGGCACTCCTCCTTAGGAAGAACATGGTCACTGGGTGGTATAGCTGCCTGGTGATAAGGCTAGGGCAGTGGGGTGGGGAGGTGATGGAGGGTCCCATCCAGGTGGGTGCTGAAGCGGGATCTCACCCATTGCCTGTGGTGCTTTATGCCTCATGTGAAACACTCTCAGGAAGCGCCCACATGGGTGGGTGGCTAGTGACCTCAGGTCCTGGCAGACCTCATGCAGACCTGTTTCTTATAGTTGCCTCTTCCTTAACAGAATCTTTAGGTTCAGAAAAAAAAGTTAAGTTTACAAATGTCACTGTCAAAGCACATTGCACGGGTCTACGTGCCTGCCTTTTGTCAGTGTAGGGGGAGAAGATAGGGTGCATATTGAGTCAAGGAGGACAGCTTTATAGGCTGAAGAGTGTTGTTGCCTGCACTTCTTACAAGGGCCATGAGACACTCCTACTCACAGTGTGAGGAACCAGGTGTAGAAAATTACATGGTCTTAGGTTTTTAGGTCCTTGTGCAGGTTTCTGCCCAGTCCCTGCCGAAGCTTACAACAGGCATACTTCTGTCAGGAGCTCTTCCTGTCATCACCAAGCCTGACTTTCTGAGAGAAAAAACTGTGTCCAAATGGAAAACTAAATACTGTAGAATCACACAGACCACACACAGATCTCATTGAGCTGCTCAGGGCTTTTCACAAAGCAAAGTGTTCCATGGGTTTAGGACACTATAGGGGTCCTGTAGTCCTCCAGGGCCACCTCCCCATCTGTAGCTACCCATCACCCCAATTTGTAACAACTGCATGTGCCTCAAAAAAGTATTTACATTCATATTTATACCATAAATATATATTTTTAATTCATAGAAATATGCTTGCTTAGGGTGGCTTCTGTTCGCCTGTTTAGAGAGATAAGTTATTCAAATATGTTCCCATTATTAGACATTTTACATTACACATGTGAAGTTTTCATATATAAAATGTAGGCAATTTCTCCATCCTAACAAACTTTATTGTCAAGATTATTTGCAGTAAGCAAACAGCCTTCTGCTTTCTGTAACAAATAACCTTGGGTGGCCTTCCTCATTTTGCGGCACATTTGGGGTTCCTCATCCATCAAAGGGTCCTCTCAGACCAACAGCAGGCCTTGCTCTTCAACAGTAGCAGGCATGAGCTACAGGCTCTGAGGTACCTGGATGGGAGCTGGTCAGTCCATGGTTTCCCACTTTCATTTTCCTGCCCACTCAATTCGTATGTCCCAGGTCTCTGGTATCCTGCAGTTAAAGAACAGTATGGGCGTGGTGGTGCGTGCCTATAATCCCAGCACTGTGGGAGGCTGAAGCAGAGCGATTGAAAGTTTATATCCAACCAACTTCAAGAGATCCTGTCTCATAATAAAAAATAAAGGAGAGGTAGAGATGTGAATGTTCTGGATTCAATCCCCAGTATAAAAAAAGACACTATCTTTGATATTTGACTTCCTTGTGGTGAAGGACATCAGTGTTGATGTGATGGGAGCCCCTGACATAGGAAACCTTCCTAAGCCAGGGCGTGAGTCTAAAAATGGCTTTAGAAGTGTCCCAAGTGTCCCCCCCACATTGGGGGTCTCCCAGACACATGAAACCCTTCTGGCCTTAACAGCCCATGTGGGTGACACTGCATATGGCTCAGGCAGAAGCAGGCATCTTGGGGGTAATGCTGCTGCCCTTGGAGAAGGCACCACCTAGAGGCCCTTGGTGGAGATGGAGGAGGTGTTCTGGGCCAGGCCTGTGAAATATGTAGTCAGGTATATCAGGGTTAAATAAAAAATCCTTCACTATTGGTGATGAACCCATTGGGATGGGCCAGGAGGTGACCTGCAATCCTAACCAAGCCCCTTCTCTCTGTCAGGACATTAATGAGATGGTACGCACCGAACGGCCAGATTGGCAAAATGTCATGCTGTACGTGACGGCAATCTACAAGTACTTTGAAACTTGAGCACACCAGGAGGAGCTGCTGCTGGCTGGGGACCTCGGCAGTAACCAAGCAACACCGACACCTTTAGCTATGCACCCCTAAAGCTTTCGGCAACTCTGGGCTGTCCTGCAGTGTGTGAGCCTCAGCCTGGGACCTCTGCATAGGAAGAACTCAGGCCTGTGGCCTGTGGCGCACACCATGGCCTGTCCACCCAGTGCATGTGGGCACAGCACACAGCCTGCAGGCTGGCTTTCTTCTGAAGACCGGTTGAACTCCATTAGTGCCCAGGATGTAAAAACAAAAGGCTCATACCCAGCTAAACTTGGGGAAAAGGATTGGATTATAGGGGATTCCTAGAGGTTGGTGAATGCTTCAGCTACAGCACTTCTTGACTGTTACCCACATGGGTCCCTTTGCTGGTGAGAACCAGGGGGAAAGTGAGTACCTGGCAAGTGTCTGCTCCCTAGTGCTGGGCAGAGCCAACCTTGCTCTTTACATGGGTCTGTTTCTAGGAGTGTGTCACCATAGAATCGGGAAAGCCATACCTTCGGTGTGACAGAGCTGTCCTGGTCACCACTATGTAGGAGTTTTCAACTAGAGTTAAGAAACATATAGAAGTGCAGTGCAGGTGGTCCCACCTCACAGCCTGCAGCTGGCCAAGTCCACACTATTGCTGGGCTCCTGTTGGCAGGAAGCAGGCAGGATCCTCACCTGGTGCTTGGCCACCTGCCTCCAGCCCCAGGCCTAGCTTAGGGCTTCTGAGAAGAGGGACTGATCAAAAGGAGTTCTAGTTAAGATTTTTGATTTATTATGAGCAAGACTGTGGAAAATAGCTCCTATTCTATTAGTACCAAAGTTAAATTGTTTTAAACCAGACATGGTGGCGCACACCTGCAATCACAGAACTCGGGAGGCTGAGGCAGGAGGATTACCATGAGTTGGAGGCCAGCCTGGGCCATACATACTGAATTCAAGGCCAGCCTGGGCTATACAGTGAGAGCCTGTCTCAGAAAAAAAGTTGTTTTAATAACCATAGAAATGAAACACAAAATTTAGACATAATACAACAAGAGCAGGGAGTGAAATAGGAAGTAGCTGAGAAGAGGGACATGCTTAGGGAGCCCATGGTGTGATTTAAAGTCCCTGCTGAGTTGCTGAGATGTACTCCTTTTGAGCAGAAATGTAAGAAAGTGCCTTACCTCCCCTTGTCGGGCAGCCCGTGCCTCCTCACCAGGGCAGGTGTCAGCAGAGATTCAGAGGGCCAGGCCTGCCCTTCCCAGGTGCTGGGTCTGTGCTCTCTGAGCCAAAGCCTTACTCAGAGGTGTTCAGTTGATGACTTTCAGGTTGGAACTCAAAGCTCTTTTGGGGACCCAGGAGCCCACATCTCATGTGTGCCTAACACAGTAGCTGTTGGTTTGAACAATGTCAAAACCTATACTTTCCAGATTATAACTGTTTGGCACCTGAAAGGCACCGTGAGGAAGACTGGCCACCAGTGGAAGCTGAGTTGTAGCCCCACTAACCAGATGCAAGGAGCAGGCTCCCAAGAGGCCCACCCAGTTCCATCATGGGCTGAGGGTCAGCATTCAAGCATGATGTTCCTTACCGGGAGTTTGACACGTTTGTGGAGCCTAGAAAAGAAAATGGCTGTTAAGAAGTGGGCTCTGCATGTCTGTGCCCTACAGTGTGCCCTTACCAGGTGGCTGGTGCTGCCCATCTACCCTGCCTAAATGTCCCAACCTGGCAGTACAGGCTGCTGTCCCTGGCTAAGGCCTTTGGTGAAATGCCAACTAAAAGAGAGGCAGTATCAGCCTCAGAGCACACCACAAGACACCCCAGATGCCAGCTTCCACAGATCCCCGGCCTGGTCCTCCCCAGCCGAGTTCTGTTCTTGTTCCTGTTGCTCTGCTGACAGTTAGCTGTCAGCCATGAGTGACTGCTCGTGTTCAAATCATCATTTCCAGGGTCTCTCCACTTAATTTCTGAGTTCCTGCCTCTGCTTTCATTGGCCTGTCCACTGTCTGCATCCAAGGTGTCTGGTCATATTTTTGTTTATTTATTATGTCATGAGGGGCTGTTATGTGACTAAGAAGATTTCTCTGAGACTGCAGTTGACAGTTTTGTCCCTTGCTGGCCATGTGAGATCAGCTCCAGAAGCTCATTCTGGGATGGGGAATTCCAGAATCTTCTGAAAGGAGGCAGTGGTCACCAATGATCTGTGTCGCTTGGATGGCACATCTCTTCTGGACACTGAGGGCCCAGTATCAAGCCTGGGAGTGGCGCCAGAGACAGAGGTGGTCTTGGGAAGGGCCATCCTGGCCTTGTCAGTCTGGAGGCTCATCTCAGGCCCTCTGGCCCCAGTGAGGGTCAGACTGCCCACGTTTGCACAAGGGTCTGCACGTGCCAGGACTCCAGAGCATTACTTTTTACCTTTTCTAATAGGACCCTTACAACACTGTTGGCTCTGTGGGTGCAGCTGTAATGGTCATATGTGTTTAAAGGTGGTACCTGCTTTGTAGCCTCCAGGAAGTCATTTTGCCTCTTTAAGCACAAGCTTTACTGCAAAAGGGCCAGTTACCTTTCTATTTCTATCATAGGCTTCTGCTGACTGACTGATGATACTTTGCCATTTTGTCCTAGTAAATATTCTTGAATGTATTAAATTGTTAAAACACATCTGGCTTGGACTTTCCTAGCTTGCCTCCCCTCCCCACTGACCCTCAGATAGTTACATGAACCCAAACTGGAACCCTGTCCACCTAAGAAGGCCTCCTCAGGTCCAGCTTTCAACACCTCCCCATGCACATGGACATGGAGCACCTGCCTGGAGTGGGAGACCTGGTGTGCCTGCTGCAGCCCTTGCAGGGTGCTCAGCAGCCTCAGGTAGGTCTCTGACCTGTGAAACCACACTGGGGTAGGGCAGCTGAGCTCAGAGGTTCTGACCTGCCCTGGGGCCACTCAGAATCTGTGACAGTTGTTAACACCCCAGAAACACCAGCAGAGCTGCCCTGTGAGAGTGAAAGCCCCAAGCATGCCCTAGACACACACCATCAGGCATCCCAAGGGTTTTTTGTCTTTCTAAAAACATATCATTCTAGAGATGATTTGGGGGATGTATAAAAGTATAGAGAAGCAAAAAGAAGAAAGTACTACCTAGAGGCAACCAGTTAAGTTTTTTTACTGTGCATCATTTTGAGGTGTTGGGATAGAAGCCAGGGCCTGGCAGGTGCTCTAACCACTGAGCTGCATTCCAGCCCACTGTTCATCTTGGCTGTGGCCATTTGAATCCACTGAGATCAGCCCTCAGCACTTGTCACCTCACACATATTGTATACACAGGGGTCTATGAGGTCACCCCCTTACACCAGAAGACTTGGGGTAAGCATCTTACCCAGAACTGAGACTCCTCAGGATCAGGGGTCCCGGGAAGGGTGAGGGCTTACCTAACCTGAGTTCAGGTACATCCTGAGAGTGTTCATGAGCCCCAGCCTCAGGCAGCCACAGTCATCTAGGGTGACCAGTGTGGTTTCAGGTCTGGACCCTGGACCAGAGGACCTGAGTGCCACTTTTGACACTGGCATGGCAGGAACTAGGCCAGGACTCAGCCCCAGACCCTCCCTGCTCACCAGATACTGGACTTGGGCCCCATGCTGAGGTGGTCAGTGGGAATTCACTGCACAACAAGAGCACACCCCACCCACAAGATGGGTCCCCCCCTCAAGCTGCTGCCCCTAGGTGGGGAGGGGTGCCCTGACCCCTGCCTGATATGCTCTAAGTCTCAGAGGCAGACCCTGAGGCTGATCCCTCAGAGATCTTTGTGGCCCAATGTACCTGCCTGGAGCCTGCAGGTCAGCCCAATGGCTCTGTGACCCAGACATAGAGCTCCCAATGACTACCCTAGGGCAGCACCTCTGAGGAAAAATAGGTTCCATCTTGACATGGAAAGTTCTAGAACCTCTGGGGGGCAGCTTTGATGGTTGGGAATGGAAGAATTCAGGTAGCCTAGGAGAGGAGAAAGATCCAGAAAGGATCCACTAGACCCCTCCAAACACAGCTTCACAGGGCTGGGATCCTGGGTCTAGCAGCTGTGACAAACTCTGACCCCCATCTTCACAGGGCCAGCAAATCTTCAGGTGACCTAGATTGTTTCAGGTTGTCCCTTCAAATCAGGGACAGATAATGGATATTGACATACCGTCACTGTGTTCTGTCAGGTGATGGCTGAAGACCTGGGTTGCTGGGATTCATGACTCCATTGGCCAGAGCTCTGACCCAAACAGGGTAGGACTTACACAGGAGGCCAGGTAGGGGTGCAGCAGGACAGAATGCCACCCTGGGCAGTCCGTGTGGAGGGTATGAGGATGGGTCAGAGGCATGTGGAGAGCTGGCTGACCACATGACCTACACCAGGCCCAGCAAAGCCTGGAAAGGGCTGGTCCTTGTCCCTAAGAGCCCCCTGGAGAGTGCATTACCCTGTGCGAGGAGGAGGCAGCAGGGACTTGGTAGGCTTGGAAGCTGAGTCTTGTGAAGAGACAGAAAGGCAGAGATAGCACCCATTGGGCAGGAAGCAGATGTGCTCTCCAAGGATACTGTAGCACTGGCTCCCACTGATGCTTGTGGGAGCCAGGATGAGCACTGAGCAGTTGTCAGGACATTAGGGTCTTCCAGACAGGTCAGCAACACTTGGGACGTACTGGGGCTGTTTCAACCTCTGCAAAATAGTGACCTGCCAGGCATCCTCTCTGATGTGGAGGAGGAGTGTCTGGTGGATCTCGGCTGGGAGTGCAGGGAGAACATAGGCGTAGCCTATGGCTGTCCTTGGGAGTTATGAGTGCTGAGCCCAGTATGGGGTGGGTACAGAAGGTTGTCACTGTCCACCACAGAGCCAAGACAACCAAGACAAGGCTCACTGCCCCCAGAACCTGCTTCCTGTCTGCACTGATACAACAGGTCAGCTCTGAGGCAGGTTTGCTGTGCCCTTCCCCCGCCAGAAGCAGACAAGGCATGGAGGTCTTCCCATAGGCCTCAGCTGGAGGATGGGGGGGGGGGCGCGCATTGCTCCTGTGTCCGCCATGGCTTCAGTGACTTGGTGGTTGCTTTCTCTGGCGGCGCGATCCTGCCTTTTCTGAGCTTCCTTCAGGCTGTAGACAAACTGGAGCCATGTGAAGTCTCCAATAACTGAAGGGATAGTTGAGTGAGCACCCTGGGGCGGCTGGGTTTGTTCCTAGGCACCCTGACCTAACACCCACTGGGTGCGTGGTCCTAGTCCTGGCATGTCTTGCTCCCTGATGTGGCTCAGCTGGGCCCAGAGCAAACAATGAGGGCCAGAGGCCGCCCAGGTGCATCCTGGGCAGGAACAAAGAGCTGTGGGCGTGGGGTGGGGGTGGGTAGTCTGAGAACGGATTTCTGGAGCAGGAGAGAGCCCTGCTGGCCCCACCATCTCGCCTGAGTAGTGAAGGCCTGGACGGAAGGAAGGCGGGTGACCACAGCTTTCAAAGCCTGCCTGGGACTCGACAGGGAAACCAAGGCTCAGAGATAGAAACCTAGGACTTCCAGACATCCTCATGCCCACCAAGAGTCAGTGGCCATAGTCAGAGAAGGCCTGTACCCTTTGCCATCAGTATACTCTCAGAGCAGCCTTGTACCCAAGGAAAGCTCTCACAGCTGGCAAGAGGGTAGCCATGCCAAGATCAAGGATGGGGCCCTGTTTAGGGGACAGGCAGCAGAGGGTCCCCCAGGAGGGTTTAGAGGAGCAGGCACAGGAGCTGGCAGGGTAGGCGAGTACATAGCCCTCCTTCATGCCACCATCACCACTGAACCTCAAAGACCAGAATGTGCCCTATCTCTGGGCAACAGCTTCACTGGAGACCTGGGCTAGGGTGTCTGGTGGATGACAAGGACCACAAGAGCAGCGCTTCCTCTCCCTCTAACAGGCCAGGAGGAGACCTGACCTGGCCTCACCCCTCACAGCCTCTGTGGCAATGGCGTCTCATAGCAGTTGTGGGGTGTTGGAGCTCACTCTGGAGCTAGAGCCAAGCCAGGCCTTACCTGTCCACCTGTCCTCAGGACACAGATCCTCAATCCCTAGGAACCAAGACCAAGGGATGGTGTCACTGCCCACCAGGACCCAGAGGCAGAATACAAGGGCTTTGACTCTCTGGCCCCGAGGAGCAGCGTTAAGAAGGCCCTCACTCACTGAGGTACTGCCACAGTGCACAAGGCCAAGCCATGTGTGTGGAGGGCCAAGGGGAAGGTGCTGGGCCCCAGAGAAGGAGCAGCAATCATTGGGGTCCACAACCAGGGACTAGGGAGCAATAGGGTCTCCCAGAATTGGCTGTTTCTGACTCATGAGCTTCCATAGCCCCTTTAAGGTGACTCTAAAGACAGGGTCTTCCTTGCATGTTAAGAACTTTGGGTCCAACGTGAATGGGCTGGGCAGGAAAGTGTTGCCACTACAGGTGGCAACAAACCCCTCATTTCGAGGCCCAGAAACAAGGGTGAGGAGCTAAGGGCTAGAGGGCGGGCCCCCTAGCCAGACAGCTCCCCTAGTTTGTACCCTGTGGTTTGGTACAGAGCTAGCTCAGCTCCAAGAGCTGGAGGGCAGAAATGAATGGGTGCCTGGAAAGCCTGCAGAAATGCTACTTTCTGGGGTGGTCCCAGACACTGATCCCAGGGTCCATGTCCCCTCCTGGTGGTAGTAGAGGGGGCTCCCCACTAAGGAAACCAAAGGCCTTGGGAAGAGGGGGGTAGACTCAGCAAAAAACAGGACTGGGGAGGGCTAAGGATTTAGCTCAGTGGCATCACTCCTGCATTGTAAGCGCAAGGTCTTGAGTTCAGATCCCTGGTACCAAAAACAAAAAAACAGGACTGGGGAATGAGGAGTGGGGGAGGTTGCATGGCCAGGCCTGAGGTTGGAAAGATATCAGGGGGTGGAGGAAGGCAACTGCAGTATTCTAGCGTCTTATACAGGTCTTTGGGGGACTCAGGTTTAACTTTGGGTACAGGTGCCTTCCCAGCCCAGCCCACTGTCCTCTGCCTGGAGATCTCAAGGGACCCCTGGATGTAAGATAAAACTCTTTTCTTTTTTTTTTTTTTTTGGTACCAGATATCGAACTTGGGACCTTTCACTTGCAAGGCAGGTGGCAGAACCACTGAGCTAAATCCCTGGTCCCTTAAGGGCCCCCTGGTTGTAAGGAAACACAAGGATTAGAGACTGAGCTGGCTGCATGGGAACAAGAATGAGTCAAGGAAGCCACCAGGTGATAAAGGCTGTCCTAGCAAAGTGATAACCAATATCTTGGGCTCCTGGCTCCTCCTGATGAGCTGGCCAGGTGCTTGTACATCCACTTCCCACCCACATTCTCCTCCCTGAGTTGGAAGCAGGGAGCTACTTTGACAGAGGCCATTCCTCCATCCTGGCCTCAGCCCTAAGATCTAAGCCTCAGCCCTAAGGCCCTGAGCAAACCCACCAGTCCTAGGAGGGTGTTCCAGAAATCCCTTGGCTACGGATGGCTTGGCTATCTGAGGGGCTTATCCTGCTATGTGAACAGAACTGGGGTTAGTCCAGATCCATCCAGATGCAAAAGCCAAAGGCAGGTCCTCTTGCATGGCTTAGTTGCGGTTGGATATGAGGTCATTCCCACTTACAAGACTCCAGAACAAAGGCAGAGAAAGGGAGTTCCCAGAGTCTGAGATTCCCAGTTAAGTCTGCAGTGCGGATGGGACTCCCACCTCCCTCTGTAGTTTAGAGAAGGGGAGGAAGGCAGAGTCTTGGCCCCAGCAGTCACCAGGGGCTGTCACAAGAGGGACCCGGGCCCATAATCTGGGGTGCGTAGAGGGAGTGACACAGGAGAACCAATGCCATCCAGATCTGATAAGGGACAGCAAAGCCCCGGAAGGATCTTAGCTGCAGAGGCGGTCCTGAGAGCTTCCGGTAGGACGGTAATGCCAGGGGTGGGGCCCGGAGGGCTTCACAAGGCGAGGGTGGGACGGGAGACTTTGCGGGAGGAGAGGGGGCGTGGCGCCGCCGGAGGAGGCTGGGACGGATGGAGCCTACGAAGGTCATGCTGTGGGGTGGGGGCACGCGGGGTGGCCCTGCCCCGTCGCTGCCCAGCCCTGCCAGGGGCATGTCCTCTGGTCCCCCGCGGGTCTCTGGCCTCGGTTTTCCCCGTGCGACGCGGGAGTGGGGGCAACGTGGGTCTCGAGGCCGCCTGCAGGGGGCGCCGGTGAGCGGCACGGCTGGAGCCCGAGCCCTAGTGGCCGCGGAGACAGCGAGAGCTGGCGCGCAAGCAGCAGGTCAGCCCGGGTACCAGGTCTGGGATACTAGTTCTGGGGCTCCAGGAGTCCCGGGAGGGCGGCCTGGAGGTTCGGAGCCGTCGGAAGCTGCCGGGACGGGAGAGTTGGGTGTTGGGTACCCGTCGCTCCAACCCTTTCTTCCCGCTGCCCCGAGTGCGAGTTCGAGGGCTCCCGGGTCCGAGCCCTGCCCCGCGGCAGCCACGGTAATGCCCTGTGCAGGGTCTTTCGGCGCAGTCATTTCCTAAGCCCGCTCGAGGCGGTGTGCGGATCCTCTGGGCAGCCCCAAACTGGCCGAGAGGTACGCGGGGGTGGGCGGGAGGAGAAGGGACGCGGGTGAGGCAGCCGGGGCGGCGGGGTGCGTAGCACGAGTCTCTGGACCCGGCCGTCGGGCCGTCCGGCTCCGTGGCGCGTCACGCTTGGGGCTGGGCTGGGCTGGCCTGGGGGCGCCAAGCGAGGCCTGAAGGAGGCGGGTCGCACCTGTAGGAACGAAAAAGGATTTCCACAGGTGGAGGGGCCGGGGCGGGCACCGCTATTCCGGGGCGAGGCATCCCGTCCGCCGAGTCTCGGCATCCCGCACGGTTGGGGCGTCTGGAGCGCGGCACGCAGCGCGCGGCCATCCTGTGCACACAGGTGGCGGGATCCGACTTAGCGGACCCAGGAGGGGCCCGGGGACGGCGGGTGTTGGGTGCGAACGGCGGAGGGAGGAATGGCGGGAATGGTGACGGCTCTCAAGGATTGAGAGGAGGCCGCGGGCCAGCAGAGCAGAGTTCCCTACGTTCTGGGCGTTTAGACTTCAATTTCCCGTCTGTACTATAGAAGGAAGAGGGAGCCCGAGTGTTCCGAGCTGCAGAAGAGGGAGGCCAGGGTCCTCCCAGACCCCTCACCCCAGGACTAGAGTGGGGAGGTGGGGAGGTGGGGAGGTGTTCTTCCAGCCGGCCCTTAAAAAAGGGATACTGGTTGCCTTTGTTCGCCTCCTTCCCTAACCAGAGGCTACATCCCGACCCAGAAGTCTGCCCTTCTCCGGCCCGGGGTGCTGGACGTCCTGTGCTCTGCTTCTAATGCCCAGCCTCCCTGGACTAGGAGACTCTGCACCTTCTGGATTCTTCACGCCACCCTCATGCCCATCCAGTGCTACCCAGGTGTCCCCTGAGGACCATGGTGGCTTTGGCTACAGCAGGCTAGGGTGGATGTTGTGGAGTCACTGGCTTCATCCTTAGCCCTGAGGGGCTTGGGTGGAGCGGGGAGTGCTCAGTCCTGCAAGGCAACCCCCCATCCTGAGTCTCAGCAGATCCAGGGGCTCCTCACTTGTCCATGGCTATGGTGTCAACACCTCATAGCTCAGCCTTTGCCTTTTGGAATCTTCCAGGCTTCTCAGGTTCTGGTGTCCTTTGGGCAAATCCCAGCCAATGCCCCTCCATGTGTGTCCCCTCATTGCTGGCCGGGTGCTGGCTAGGCTGGCCTCCCCATGTGTGACCTGGAGGAAACACACACATCTGGTAGGAGACAGGCTTTGGGCTGGGCTAAAGAGGGCAATGGCTGGTTTCAAGAGCACTGATGAGCCAGAGATTTTGATGCTCCAACCTGGTTCTGAACTTGCCACCTCCACTAAGTGGGTGGCCTTGGGCAAGTCACTGCCCTAGGAATTTATTTTTTCATCTGTGGAGCAGGATAACATTCCTAGCAATGCCTAATGCATGGAGCTGAGATGGAAATGAGATGGGCTGGGGTGGGGGAGGCAGTGTTGGGGCAGACCAGAGTGCAGAATAGGAGGGCTACACTTGAGCTGGGAAACCCTGGAGGAAGTGTCAAGGGATGACACATGGAATCACAGTGGGCAGAAGGAGGTGTGGACAGGAATTGGCTAGAGAACAAGCATGTGGCTTCAGGGTCTCCTACAAAGTTCAGGGTCTGTGTGGGGTACCATAGCCCTTGATGGCTCATAGCAGTAACCTGAAATCCCACAGCGGCTCTTGCTACCCTCTAACCTGCCTGATCCTAAGCCATCTCAGCCCTGATGAGCTGGAATTGCCATTTTCACACCCTTGTGAGATAGATCTGTATTGTCTGGTGCAATTTTAACCTGCTCTGAGGATTGTGTGTACATGAGAGGGATTGATTGTACAGAAGGAAGGACAGCCAGACAGACGGATGGCACAGCCAGGAAGGGTTTTGGTGTGGCAGTGGAGATTCTGCGGAGAGGAGACTCCTGCAGTCAGGTTCTGATTTGGTCAAAGAGAGGAGTTCCAGCCTAGTGGGAAGGGTCTTGGCTCTGGGACGTACTGGGTTACTACCAAAGGGTAGAGGGTGGCCCAAGGACCCTAGTTGGAAGAAGACAGTGGTTAGGAGGATAGAGGGGATTGAGTGCTGAAGGGTGGGTTCTTAGTCCATGGTGGGCCCAGATGGGGAGGAAGCAGAGCTGGGATACACAGAGGAGATCCTAGGAGAGTGGTTACCTCTTCAGCAGGACCCATGGCCCTGGCTGGTGGGAAGAAACAGTTTAGTGGCAGAGAGAGAGAGACCCCAGCCCCTGTAATCTGGAAGCTATGAGATCCTGCCAGGGACTGGGGAGTGTCCAGACAGCAGCCAGCAGAAAGGGCTGGATGCTAGGAAAGTCAGGACTTGCTGCAGCTTTCTAGGACCACCTGGGCCTTTCTCTGACATGCAGCTGAGCCTTGCACAGGCTCTTTTCTTCATGAGAATCTCTTCTACTTCTCTCCCTTCACCTCTTTGTTCAGCTCAAAGGCCGCCTCCTCAGAGAATCCTCCCTCTGGGTCCACGTCTACTCCTGCAGGTTAGGCTTGTTTTGGAAGTTGCTGGACAGGGGCTGGTGCTGCCCTTGTGTGGCACCTGCCTGTATGGATGCTGCTGTTCCATTAACCCGGGTCTTTGGCTGCAGCTGTCAGCTGGAGGAGAGGCCAGAGGGCTTCACTTCTTCCTCCCAATGGCCTCTGCAAGCCGTGAGCTCGATTGATGGTGGGGGTGGGGGAGACAGTGGCAAGGCTAAGATGGGCCATGCTCAGGTTGGTCCAGCTCCCCCTGCCCTTTTCATTCAGACTCAGGGCTGCATCATCACACCCATGTCCTAGGGACCCCATAGGGTCCACATCCAGCCACCTCAGTGTACTTAGCAGTGCTCCTTCAACAGCCCAGCCTCCTGCTAGCGGCTTGTCTTGGGCCCTCTGGGGTCTGTATTCTCAGAACTTCCTGTCCCTGCTTCAGGCAGTGCAACAATACCTGTCATCCGCCATTTGTGGGAGGTGCAGGTGCTGGGCCTTTCACGTGACGCTGTCTCACCACAGTCTATGCACACGTGAGGAGCCGCAGCACAGAGGGGAAGCCTCATGCTCGGGCCTGAGAGAGTTGTGTGATGGAACTGGTGCGGATCTCACCCCAGCTACTTCCACCTCAGGGTGGGCTCCCAGCACCTCTGTGAGACGGGGCCCCTTGGAGGAGGTTTGTCTAGCGAAGCAGCTGGTGATGGGGTGAGTGGCCACCTCCAGTGAGGAGGACTGGGGACCTGTGGCCTCTCTGGCATCTGACCTAGACAATTGGGGGTGGCAAGGGCTGTTGTGGGCCCCCTGTAGGGAGAAGGGTGCTGTACCAAGCCCGGTGGCTCAGGGGACAAGGCTGGGGCACCCCAGGCTGGCCTGTGGCTGGTGGTGTGGAGGCTCCTTCCAGGCAGGCCCAGTGCCTCAGCCTCCAGCTGCAGGGAGCTGGTTCTCCGTTTTTGCCCACATCCTGTCCCCGGGAGCAGAAAGCAGCAGCCGCATACCCGGAGGCGGTGGGGGAGGAGCACACAGGGCGCCCGCCTGGGTACCTGGGCCATAGCCAGCACCAGGCATCTGAAGCGGGTGTGTGTCCTTAGGGAGACAGGGAGGGCAGGGGGCTGAGACTTAGAAGGCACCTGTTGTGCGGTGACTGAGGTTGCAGGAGGGACTCTGTGGGTGCTACGGTCCTGGTGGTTCTGGGAGGCTGGTCCCCAGGCACTGCTTGTGGTTTGGGTACAGGTGCCACCCTGCCCATCTAGATATTATTCTTTGTTTGCTGCTCCTTCATGCTTTTCCTGAGCTCCTGAGAGACACGTTGGTGCTTTTTAACCTCGCTTCATGTCTGTGCTTTTCCACATTGACTGTCTCCAGGAAGTTTCTGAGAGAATTCTCGGTGCCCTCTTCCAACCCTCAATTCTCCCTTCAGCTGCCTGCATGCCTGAAGCCCATCACACCTGCTGTCTTCTTTATTTCAGTCCTTGGGTTTTTCATATCCAGAAGTTTATTTCCTGTTCATTTTCACCTGTTTTTGTTTCTGCCAGTGAGGCTCTAAGTTCTCATTCTTGTCCATAGATGGTATTTCTCATTTCTGTGAGGATCCAAGATGTCTTTAAAAATAATTATTTCATTATTCCAGTGCCTTCTTGTCTTCTTCGTTGAACTGCTCTCCATGTTTTTGATACTGTTGCTTATCTTCCTTAGTCTTAATTTTCCTCCTGTGTTTTGAAATTGGGGTTTGGGGCTCATCTGAGATCTTGGGGCTGGGGAGTGGCCTGTAGGTACCCAAATCCCCAAGCAGCAGCTGCCACTCAGGAGTTTCCTGGACTCTTTCTGCCTTCAGGACTCCCTGCTGTAGGCTCAAGACCAAAGGAATAGCAGCAGGTGGCACAGAGGGTCCTGTGGTCGAGCAGTTGGGCTGCTTCCTGGCATTCCAGATTAGGTAACAGGTGAACCTCTGACAAGAGATAGGTGAGAGGACTCTAAGGCTGGGATTTGGGAGTCCAGAGTGGCTGCCTGCAGTAGGCAGAGTTTCTGTGCTGTGCTCCGCTCCTCAGCTTGCCACATCCAGGGGCGGGTGTACAGGGCTCTGCCTGGAAGCCAGCAGGCGCCCCTGACCAGCAGGCTCTAAGAGGTTCCCCCACCATCTGGGCATGTGTACAGAGAGCCTTTCTAGTCTGAGGTACAAAGAGCCAGAAGAGGTGGGCCAGATGCATGAGTTTTGATTAAAAGGAGTTTTAATTAAACTCGCCAGGTCAGGGAGGGTGGGTGGTAAGGCAGGAAGAGGGGACAGTTTTGAGTCTGGATGCTGGGAATCCTATGGGGCTGCTCTTTCAAGGTTTAACATGCATGTTCCAGGGCATATGTCTGTATTTTACATGGGACAGTGTCTCCTCATCCGCAACAAGGGACAATCACGAGGAAATATGACATTATTAATATTTAATTTCCCCTCCCGCCTAGCAACAGATGACTCAAGGATTAATTAGAAAGGCAGAGCCAACCTAGAGGAATAGGAAATTGCCAGATCCTGATCCTGACCCCTTAACTCCCTCCCCACCTTCCTGCAGCTCAGGAGGCTTCCAAAGGGAGGGAAGCTGAGAGGAGGTCCCAGAAGTCCCCTGCGGCTGTGTTCCATGGCATTCACCACCCTTTAATGTTCGCAGTAAGAGTGAGAGGTCACTTCACTTTTTGGGGCCTTAGCTTCCTCATCTGTAAAATGCGGTCCATGGGACCAGTAAGAACACAGATATCTGTCATTTCCTGAGCTCCCGGGCTGGTTGTGTGGGCTCTTTAAGAGGGGCTAGTGTAAGTGTCCTGGCATTCAGACAGGTGGCCTCCAAGAGAGCATAGGGTTTGGTAGCTCAGTGGTGGCTAGCACCTGCTAGCCAGCTATATCACTCCCCCACCCAGTTCTGGTCAGTGGCCTGTGGAACTAGGGGAGCCTCACCCAAGATGTGCTGGCAGCAGCCGGGAATGTAGAGGGAAGGGGCAGAGGGAGAGTAGGCCATGCAGGAAGGGTCATGCAAGCTGATGTGTGACTGATGTGTGTCTTTAGCCCCATGCAAGGCTGGCCTGGTCAGGAGGGTCAAGGGAACGTGACTTCAGTGTGGTTGGGAAGGGTATCAGAATCCAGTGTTCTTCAGCATGGGGATCTAACACAGAAGGTGGTAGGGAAATCCTTAGTACTGGGGGGTTCTCAGGCAGGTATCCAAGGCTGCCAGGAGAGTCTCACCAAACAAAGGCTGGGTCGGGCCCCTCAGAGGCCCCTTCTAAGGTGGGCATCCTAGCTGGTATGGAGTCAGAGGAGGTAGGTATGGGTGGTGTGACCTGTCAGCAGGGCCTTGGGGGGTGGAGCTTGGGAGCCCTGTCTGGCCTCAGCAGAAGTGTGATGTGTTGTACCTTGTCCAAACCTTGTCTGCCTGGCCAGCTTTCTAGCCTGGGCTGGTCAGATTGGCAGAAGGCTGTGGTGTCTTTCAATGCAGATTCCTCCAGAGAGGGACATCAGATGGTTCTCCTCTTCCCCCAGGAGACACCAATGGTGGGAGGCACAATCCCTGAATAGCAGTAATTCCTCAGGGGCTCACTGGGCTTGGCTGGTCCTAAATGGACAGTGGCTTATTGCTACTGCTGCCAGGTGTGGGAAGCCACGCTGAGCCATGGTCCAGGACCTGGGTAGGATACAGGTCCAAAGTGAGCCCCAGCTTCACCAGCACCTGTTGAGCCTAGGTCGGGTGGACTCCTGGTGAATGCTACTCTGGACTACAGGCCAGGAGCACAGGACATGGTATATGGGTGTGAATGGTGCCTGGGGACTTAGTCTGGCCTGTCTGCAAGGGACACACTTTGTGAGCGGCAGATTGGCAAATGCCCTGTGCAAAGCCAGGGCTCAGTAAGACTCGGCCCTAAGTGGTGCAGGTGGCTCCAGTTTCTTTTGGGGCTTTGGCCTCCTCTCTTTCCTTCCCCTTGGCCCTTCTGTGTCAGGTGATCCATTTCAAGCCTTCTGGTGAGGCAGAAGGGTCTGTTTGGGGCAGGAGCCCCCACCCCCAGGTGTGGCTCCAGGCTGAGGCAATGACAACACTGCAGTTAGAAGGAAACTTGGGGTTTAATTCAGCCCTCTGTTAGCTCTTGGCCAATTTGGAGTGTGGCTATGTTTATGGTGGGGGGGGGGGGACTGTGGCACTTTGAAGAGGCCAGAGATCAGGAGCAACCTTCCACCAGGCTCCGTAGTCCCACTCAATCTCTCACGTCCCAGAGAAGACAGAGAAGATGTGACCACAAAAGGAAGCCTGTAGCCTTTTATCTCTGGGGAGGCAGTGGCTGGTGCTAATGTACCCCCAGTGCTCCCTGAGAGTTTAGGACTGCAGAGGGTAGATTTGGGGGCCTCTTAACTCTCAGGGAGAGGAACTTTAGTGGGCAGAGATGGTTTCAAGCTCATGGAGAAACAGCTAGAATTTGAGCGGGGATCGGACCTGCTGGGAAAACCAAGACTTTCCATGGTGTCAATCATTCCTCCTTTTATGACATTTGATTCTGGAGGATCCCTTTCAGATCTGTTATTTCCTTCTCATAGACTCAGGGGTGAGAGCTAAAATCGCCCCATAGGGTCCAAATGCCTCACTGTATAGATGGGGAAACTGGGGCCCAGAAAGGAAAGCCATTCTTGCCTACAGTCCCCCAGCAAGTCTTGGCCCAGCAGCTGCTTTTCTGACTTAAGTCAATTATTTCCTGTGTCGTCAGGTAGAGGAGCAGCTAGGGGAGAGGCGTAGGAGGAGAGAGCGGTGGTGGCTCCCTCAGAGAAGGGACGCAGCCACAGCGCCTCCCCTTCCCAGGCGTGCAGCTGGAGACACCAGGGGGCAGCAGGCTCAGGTTTGTACCTGCTCTGCTGCCCATGAGGGTGAGTGGCTTACCTGCCAGGTATGGAGGACAGGACCAGATGGCTCTCCAGATCCCTCCAGATCTGAGCTCCAGTTGTCTCTGGCCTGTCCCTAAGTGGGGCAGCTGGTGTGTCCCTTAAATGGGCACTGGTAGTTCCCTGGAGAGCTTGCCGGGGACGGAACAGGCTGAGATGATGACATCTGGCCTAAAGGTGGGGTAGAATCTGAAGCAATAGGGTCTTTGGGACCAGAATGGTTCAGCTGCTCACCAGGGCTCTCCCTTTGCAGGTGCCCTGAGAACCCTGAAGCTGAGTGGAGCCATGATACGGCCACCGGAAGCCGTGGAGAGGCCCTGGTTTCCGGAGACTCATCTGTGAGAAAGCCTTTGGAGAGCTCCTCACAGGGACGCTCCTGGCTCCTGTGAGGAAGGGGCTCAGGGCCTGGGCCCCTCTGCCACAGCTCGGGGAAGGCTGGGCTGCAGCTATGGACCGTGAGCTGGCCCAGCCCTCGTCCCTGCTGAGCCTGCCCATCTGCGGCTGCTCCCACCATGGGCTCCTTGGTGTACATCACGGTGGAGCTGGTCATTGCCGTGCTGGCCATCCTGGGCAACGTGCTGGTGTGCTGGGCCGTGTGGATCAACAGCAACCTGCAGAACGTCACCAACTACTTTGTGGTGTCACTGGCAGCAGCTGACATCGCAGTGGGTGTGCTTGCCATCCCCTTCGCCATCACCATCAGCACTGGGTTCTGTGCTGCCTGCCATGGCTGCCTCTTCTTCGCCTGCTTTGTCCTGGTCCTCACTCAGAGCTCCATCTTCAGCCTCCTGGCCATCGCCATTGACCGCTACATCGCCATCCGCATCCCTCTGCGGTGAGCCGGGGGGTGGGGCTTACGTCTGTGCAAAGGCTTGCGGTGACCCTGGTCTGGCCTTTGGCTTCAGTGTATGGGGCTGAGGATGGGGCCCTGGGGCTCAGTCCCAGACTTCCCAGGGCTGACAGATGGGCAGCCATCACGCCGATCTGGCTGATCCCTGTGGCCACTGAGTGCCCTGGCCTCCCTTCCTCCCTCAGGCCACATGGGGAGGGTTCATCTGGGCTGTTCTTCACACATCAGAGCAGAACTCCCTGTGTGATGCTGTGGTGGGTGAGGAGCCATGGGAAACTATAGGACCTCAGCTAGGAGCCTGTCTGCTGCCTGCCTTTCCCCTGGTCCTCTGGGCTGGCCTCAGCGTGAACATTAGGAGAATGACCCAGAGAGGGGAAGTGACTTGGCCAAATGCCACAGTGAGTCACTTGAACTTACATGCAAATTATGTTGCTTCTCAGGTCACAAAGGACTCAGCCTGCACTGAGCTGGTTGTGGGAGGGGAATTTTACAGTGCATCTTTTGTGAAGTGACTTCAGCCAAGTATTGTGTAAATGAAGACATTCCGGGAGGCTGAGTTTCCTTGGTGTGGCCTCCACCTACCCAGGCTACAAATGAGCTCAAAAGTGTATCCCTGGGGCCTCTGCTCCACCTCCTTGCTCCTCCACCACAGAGCTGGGTTCCACAGCCGCAGCGAATAGAGGTCCTGAGGGACATCTCCCTGGTTGGGGAGCCAGGTGTACAGTCCCCATGGTGAATTCTCCCAAATAGATGGAGTGCCCAGCTAAGGAGGGAGCCCCAGCATCCCCACTCTGGGCTGAGAGCGCCCCAGCGGGGAGGAGGACCAGGCTCAATGAGCAAATGGAAATTCAAAGTGTCAAACCCAAGGAGGCCCTCAGAGGTCACTTCCTTCCTCTCATCTTCTGAATGGAAAAATGAGGCTCTGAGAAAGGAGCCAGCGCTCTCAGGGCCACACAAGGAGTTGATGGCAGAGCTGGGACTAGACCTGGGATAAACCATAGCCTGCCACCACTGTGACAGCACTCTCTAGGGCATGACCACAGGCAGCCCAGTCTCCCAGGAGCTGTACGCGGTGGCCCCAGCCATCGTCTGAGCCCTAAGTGGGAAGCAGGCACCACACCAAGCTGCTCCAAAGAAGAGGTGGAGCCCGGACCTCGTGTTGCCCCAAATCCCTTGTCAAAGCCCAAGAAACACCCTGGCTGGTCCTAAAGGGGGCTGAATGGAGGTGGTCTGACTCAGGGCACAGTATGTGGAGGTAGCCTGGGACCTCACAGCCCGCATCTCTTGCTCCAGGGTGTGGAGCAGAATCCACATTATCCAGGGACAGCTCAGAACATGGGGGCCCAGGGGAGCCTTCTGTAGCTACCAGGTGGGCCTCAGTCTACGCAGCACTGAGGGGAATCAGCAGTCTAGCTTCCATTTTCTTCTCCAATTCAAAGGGCAACAACATTCTGGGGAGAAGTCAAGGCAGCTGTTCTCAATCTAAAGACCTCAGCTTTGTTTTCCCACTGTTTTCTCTCTTCCTCATCTCTGTTTTCTGAGTGTCACCAGAACGGATCCCTGAAGTAGTGGGATGGGACTCGCTGTGTGGCTGTGGAAAGTCAGCTGCCCTTCTCTGGGCCCATTTCCTCATCCACAGCAGGGGGATAAGTCTTTCTGTCTCTCGAGTTTACAGAGGTTTTGAGGGTCCAGTGAATGGATGGGAGTGGTGAGACTAGGCAGGGTGGGGGTTCAGCTTTTTTTTTTCAAGTACTGGAAATTAAACCCAGGGCCTCCACACTGAGCTACATTCCCCAGCACATGCCCCTTTTAGATGGTCTTACTAAGTCCCTAAGTTGCCTAGGCTGGGCTTGAACTCATAATGATCCTCCTGCCTCGGCTGCCTAGGGTGCTGAGGTTACAGGTGTGTACCACTACACCGGACATTCTGCTCTTTCTGTAGCTGCTGAAGGTTTGGAGCCTTGGGTCTGCCCTGACTCCAGTCTGTATTCTGGACTCCTAGGACCTCTCGAAACTGGACCTCAGCTCCACCTGGACCCTGGGCCATTTGAGCTCTGCTGGGTAAAGCTTTGGAAGGCTTAGGCTTGTCTCCTCGGCAGGGATGCCGGCAGAAGGTGTGACAGTCACCAAAGGATGTTAGCATCGCATCTCTTTTGATCCTCTGGGCCTAGCATTGAGGCCGGTGTGGACGTTATGACTCTCATGTTACTCTTGGGGAGGCCAGAGCCAGGGAGGCACATACATTCATCTCCTGATGGGGCTTGACTCTAGAGCCCTTTGCACTGTTCCTGGCCTTTGGGTCCCTTCACTTTCCTATTCCTAGAAGCCGCTGGCCACTAGGCACTTGGAGGTATCTGTGTGGAGGCTCCTGAGAGCAGGCTGGGCCTGGATAGAGTCCACTGAGAACTGAAAATCATGGCTGCCCCTGGAGGTGCTACCTGGCTCAGAGACCTCCCTCTTCCTTTTTCCCCTTCACAATTGAGAATCCAGCCTCTCTGAGATCTGCTGTTCCACTCAGGAAGGTCCACAGGGCTATTCTGAGGTCTAATCTTGGAAGCCTCGCCCCAGGCCTGCACCACATATCTGTAACTTTTTTTAAGAATTCAGCTTCAGGGCTGGGAATTTAGCTCAGTGGTTCTGCTGGCTGCCTTGCAAGCACAAGGTCCTGAGTTCGAGCCCCCGTACCAAAAAAAAAATTCAGCTTCAGAACCAGTTGTGGTTAGTGCAGGCCTGTAATTCCAGCACTCGGGAAGCTGAGGCAGGAGGATTGCCACGAATTTGAGGCCAGCCTGGGCTATATAGTGAGTTCAAGACCAGTCTGCGCTAATAGCAAGAGCCTGTCTCAAAAAAAAAAAAGGGGCCAGGGATTTAGCTCAGTGGTTCCGCTGCCTGCCTCTCAAGCTCCAGGACCCAAGTTCGATCCCCAGTACCAAAAAAAAAAAAAAAAAAATCAACTTCAGAACAAGCTATTTCCTCTCTCCCAAGTATAAGAACCCTGTTGGGTTAGGACAGGGCCTAGTTGGTGAGAAAGAAGCCGGGCTGGGGAAAGAGGCGCAACAGTCAATGACCTCAGAGGATAGAAACCCTGGATGAGAGATGCAGCCTTCCTTTCTCACAGGAAACCTTTGCACTGCTCTCCTGTCTCTCACAGTACCCCTAGTGGGTGCTGTCAGTCCCCAAGAACAAGCCAGAGTGCAGGGCGGTGTGAGTGCTGAGGAAATCCTTATCGTAGTGACTTGCCCTGACTTCTAAAAGAGAAGTGTTAGAGAGGCAGCTCAGTGGTGAAGCATGCGCTTGGCAGGAGCAAGGTCATGGGTTCAAGCCTCAGCACCATAAAAACTGAAAACACGCTCCCCTCTTTGGCCAGACTTTCCAAGTGGACTGAGGGTGTAGCTCAGTGGTAGAGCACTTGCCTCGAGTTGCAAGGTCCTGGGTTCCAACCCTAGTATGTATAAATGAATAAATAAATTAAATAAAGAGGCAGGCAGGATTGGGAGGCTGTGCCCCATGGAGGAATAGCGGGGGCGGCAGGTGTGTCAGAAGGAGGGCCACGTGTGTGGCCATGTGTGTGTCAGAAGGAAGCAAAGCTTGGGCAGAGGCCCCGAGGAGGGAATGATCGTGTGGGCTGTGGCTCAGGGAGGGATGGCCTGGCTGCTGAGAGACAGAGAGGAGCTGAGTGGGCAGGGAGAGTGGGAGGCTGACTCAGGCCTGTCCCTGTCCAGGGAAGGAGTCTGGGTTTCCCTGTCATCAGGCTGTTCAGTTCCGGGGTCACTGACCTCTTGGAATAACTGAGGAAATCTCCATCCCCTCCTCAGTGGTGTAAATGCTCATAAACTCCCATTCGGAATCAGGCAGTTATTTTTGGATCATAGGATGAGCCCCCAAAATGGGTGATTGGGATCCTCAAGGAAGGGCAGCTTGTAGCCTGGAGGATAAAGGGACACAGAAGGCACCCTAAATGAGCTGTGCTCTGGCTCTCACATCCTGTGACATCTCAGGGCTCCCTGGAATGGCCGAATGTTGTGCTGGATGGCCTCGGCAACCCTTGCAGCAGGTCTACATATCTGAGGGTCAGGAGGCCGTGGGTAACCTTGTTAGTCACAGATATAGCCCAGGGGACACTGCTGGGCCATGCCACAGTCTGGCTGTGGTTCACTTTGGGCTTTGATGCTCTCTCAGGTCCCAGGATGCCTGGATCCAAGACTCTCAGCCTGAGGGGCTTTGTTTTGAGTAACAAAATTAGTCTATTGCAGTGTTACGGGGTTTGTTTGCTCGCTTGCCGTCCTTGCACATGTTAGACAAGCACTCTAACACTCACTCCCAGCCCTATTTGATTCACTCCTCAGCCCGGAGTGTGTGTATATATATATATATATTATATAAAATATATATATATATATTATATATATATATATTATATATATATCACTTACATATGCTCAAACATTTAAAAAGAACAAAAGATATATAGTGAAAAGTCATCCTCATGCTCCCTCCTGCCCTCAGTGCCCTTCCCAGAAGGCAGTGGTGGGAATCTTCCCAGAGACTTTCTGTGCCTTGCTCAAGTGCTACTCATGGGCGTTTTGTTTCTGTCTTCAAAAGGGGCTTTCTTTTGAGAATGTAGTGAAAGATTTCCCCTCACAGATTCCCTTGTCTCTAAAAGTAGACAACTGGACAGACCAGGGATTTCCATGCTGTGTTCCCCTCAGAGAATTCCAGGCCCAGTCCTGTTGACTCCACCAGCTCATGAGTTCATTAGGTATTTGTTAAGCACTCCTCTTCCCCAGAAGCTCCCTCTGCCTAACTGCCTGGAAATCCAGGCAAAAGATGTGCTGCTGGAGAACAGTTCGTTCTCCCCAGGGTCCAGGGGGAGCCTGCACCATCCCTATAGGGTAACCACTGGCTTCTGCTTGATCACCTCAAACAAGAAGCTCCACACTGCCTAGGCAGCCCATTTCTCCTATGAACAACTCAGCTGAAAAGCTCTCTCCTACCCCAAGTCAGAGTCTGCTTCCGTAGAGTTTCCACACGGTGATTCAGCATTTTGCGTTATGGAGCACTACTCACAGGCCCAGGATGCTTAGTTCCATTTTACAAACAAGGAAACTGAGGGTCAGTGACATGAAGTGACACACATTCCATATTTAAAGGAATGTGCCAGGGCTAGAACCCAGGCAGAGATATGCTTTTCTCAAGAAAGATGCCAAGGAGTATTAAGAACAGTGCTGTGTACAGAGTGAGTGCTATGTTAGTATTAGATGGAGGCGGGGAAGCCTATGACTTTATATTTGAGTCTCTAAAACAAAGGACAGGGCAGTGCCAGGTCCCTTGCTTGGAAAAAATGGGCAAGTCCATGATGCTGCTCCTACAGAGGCCCTGTTGAAGTGACCAAGCCCCTGCTGAGTGGACGTGTGAACTCCTGAGAACTCGTCTGCCCAGTTACCGTTTAGATTCCGAATTGACAGGACTACGGATGCAATTTGGTGGTACAGCACTTGCCTGGCATAAGCAAGGCTTAGGGTTTGATCCCCAGCACTGCAAAAGAAGAGAGAGAGAGAGAGAGAGAGAGAGAGAGAGAGAGAGAGAGAGAGGAAGAAAGAAAGGAAGGGGGAAAGAGAAGGCACGAGAGGATCAGAACTGACAGATTTACCTTGGATTGAGTTGTATCTTGGCCCCTAAGTGTTCCCAGCAAGTCCATTCCTCTTCTTGGGGTTCAGTGTACCCACCTGTAAGATAGGGGTTTGGAGTAGACAAGAGGTCAGAAGCCACAGGTCATTTGTTCGTTTGAATAAATTGACAAAATAAACCTTTGGTAAGTTAGCCTAGAAAATCAGTTTTCATCCTCCCCTTGATATCTGGTAACACAGGGAGCTTTGTGTGTGTGTATGTGCGTGTGTGCATGTGTCTGTGTGTGTGTACAGGCGTGTACGTGTGGTGTTGGGATGTAGCCCAGGACTTCGTGCATGCCAGGTAAATGCTCTAATTCTAGGCTTATGTTTTGAATGGCAGCAAAGACAAGATAAACACCCATGAGCCTGCCTCAAACATTTGTTACCTATAGGCACATGTGTTTGCTACCCATGGGCTATACATTTCCCTGGATGTTTCCAATGCTGGAATTAAGTAGACTGCACTTTTCTTAATACCTATTGCATATCCCTGTCCCAAGCTGGCAATGCAGAGATGGATGCCCCTGCCCCCAGGGGCCTTAGCAGGATGAAGGAGACTTCTCTGAGAAGGTATCTGCCCTGAACTTGAAGGATGGGTAGGCCTCCTGCCCTTAAACATAAGGTCATCCTTCAGAAGTCATGAAAGTTGCCTTTCTCAGAAAGTTTATTTTTTGAGAGCCCATTCTTTCACAGAAGCAGTGCCACATTTCCTGGGGGGGATCAATACACTTTGTGGTCAGTGAATCAAGCCATTCTCCCATGTCTGGGACTGGGAATCAGGGTTGGATTTTCATCCAGCTCTTAGCAATACTGAGTGTCTTTGGACAGATAACTGTTCTTCTCTCAACCCCAGTATCTCATCCAAGTAGCGCCTCTTGAATATTAAGGTTGCCATATAAATGTCAAGACACAATTATCTCATTTCTTTCCAGAAGGCTGTGGGTGGGTTTGGAAGGGAGATGGCATCTCATTTGTCTTGGGACCTCTACTCCTTCTTTATCGCTGGGCAGCCTCTCCTTGGGGGTCTCTGGGCACCCAAGTCAGCTGAGGAGGAAAAAGCATGGCGTATACAAGGCTCAGATCATCACAGGTCTGACCTGGCTGATTCTGCCCCCAGCTAAGGTACCCCTGCTCTGGACCTGTTCCTGCTCCAAGGGGAAGCATGTTGTCGCTTCAACCAAGATCAGCTAATAGGAAGGGGTACTTCTCCCTCCTCCAAATCATTATTGTTTCCCTCAAACCAAAATAAAATTAACTCTCAGGATGATGCCTAAAACTAGTGACCATCCAAACATTTGTACAGTGGTTTCCATTTTGAGGGTGCCTGTTTTCCTGTTTCCTCCCAGCAGCCTGTGGGAAAGGCAAGGCCCACAACCTCACTTAACAGAAGAGGATGCTGAGGGTGGGAGAAAGAAGTGACTGTTCCAAGACTTTATAGCCAATGAATGGGGACCAAGTGGGTATAGTTCTGATTGGCTTTCTTTTTTTCTTTCTTTCTTTCTTTCTTTCTTTCTTTCTTTCTTTCTTTCTTTCTTTCTTTCTTTCTTTCTTTCTTTCTCTTTCTTCCTTCCTTCCTTCCCTCCCTCCCTCCCTCCCTTCCTTGGCTCATTTCTTTCTTTTCTCCCTCTTTCTTTCTTTCTTTCTCTTTCTTCCTTCCTTCCTTCCCTCCCTCCCTCCCTCCCTTCCTTGGCTCATTTCTTTCTTTTCTCCCTCTTTTCCTTTCCTTCTTTCTCTTTCTTTCTTTTCTTTTCCTTTCTATTCTTTTTTTCTTTCCAGTACTGGGAATTGAATCCAGGTCCTTCACACTGAGCTATATCCCTATCCCCTTAAAAAAATTTTTTTTTTTTAAATTTTGAGACAGGGTCTTACTAAGTTGCCCAGCCTGGGCTTAATCTTGTGATCCTCCCGAATCAGCCTTGCACAGCTGCTCAGGGTTCCTTGACTCTTGGCCCTGACTAGCCCTGGTTTCTCAGGCCTCTCATGCTGGTCTCCTGTTCCCAGGTACAATGGCTTGGTAACCTGCACGAGGGCCAAGGGCATCATTGCGATCTGCTGGGTGCTGTCGTTTGCCATCGGCCTGACTCCCATGCTGGGCTGGAACAACTGCAGTCAGCCAAAGGAGGACAAGAACCACTCCCAGAGCTGCGATGAGGGCCAGGTGACCTGTCTCTTTGAGGATGTGGTGCCCATGAACTACATGGTTTACTACAACTTCTTCGCTTTTGTGCTGGTGCCCTTGCTGCTCATGCTGGGCATCTACTTGAGGATCTTCCTGGCAGCCCGTCGACAACTGAAGCAGATGGAGAGCCAGCCTCTGCCAGGGGAGCGGACTCGGTCTACGCTGCAGAAGGAGGTCCATGCTGCCAAGTCACTGGCCATCATTGTGGGGCTGTTCGCACTCTGCTGGCTGCCCCTGCATATCATCAACTGCTTCACCTTCTTCTGCCCCAAGTGTAGCCATGCCCCACTCTGGCTCATGTACCTGGCCATCATCCTGTCCCACAGCAATTCCGTTGTCAATCCCTTCATCTATGCCTACCGCATCCGCGAGTTCCGCCAGACCTTCCGCAAGATCATTCGAAGCCACGTCCTGAGGCGGAGGGAACTCTTCAAGGCAGGGGGCACCAGTGCCCGGACCTTGGCAGCTCATGGTGCTGAGGGAGAGCAGGTCAGCCTCCGGCTCAATGGGCACCCCCCAGGGGTGTGGGCCAATGGCAGTGCCCCCCATCCTGAGCAGCGGCCCAATGGCTATGCCCTGGGACTGGTGAGTGGAGGGAGTGCCCAAGGGTCCCAAGGTGATGCCAGCCTCTCAGACGTGGAGCTCCTCAGCCATGAGCACAAGGGAACATGTCCAGAGTCCCCTGGCTTAGAGCACCCCTTGGCCCAAGGCAGAGCAGGAGTGTCCTGATGGCACACAGAGTTGGCCCCTTCCTGAAAGAAGGAAATTTTATCTTTCTGGTTGGCTGGACCAGTCATGTTGGGAGAAAAGAAGAATGACTGTGCCTGGAGACCCATGGGGCAGCTGGTACCCACTCTGGACTGAGATGAGGGAGCCCCAAGCTGGAGCAGCATGAGGCCCAGCAAAAAAGGCTGGGGTCTGAGGAAGCAGATCTTTTGTGCTCTGAGGCCCTGCAAGTAGGCCAGGTTGCAGTCCCAGCAGCATCTTGGCTGAGCAGGGCCCAGTCCTCCCCTCCAGAAGCCCCACTTTGTCTGCAGAGCAGCAGTGGCTTAGCAGACTGTGTTGGCCTCAGGCTGGGCAGCAGCTGCAGCAGACCTCCTGCCACACACACCACCCTCCCAAGACTCTCTAGGGCTCAGGGAGCTGCTGGCCGGGGATGGCATTTAAGTATTTTTTCCAGGAGAAGATATGTGTGAGGAAATCCTTTTTATTTTATTATCCTTCCCTCCTTGTCTGCTGGGTCTGCTGTCCGTCCTGCTGCTAACCTGGCACCAGGAGTCCGCCCAGGAAATCTCAGGCAGCCCTCTCCACTGCCATGAGCTACCATGCACTCAGTTCTGTCTCTTGGGACAACAAATCTGGGCTGGAGGACAGGGAGTTGTAATGGGAATGGTGCCAGGATGTGGCCTAGGCCTCCAGGGAGAGGTCGGGGTTGGCAGGCCATGGGCCTGTGCCTGGATAGCTCAGAGCTGCCCAATTAGAGGCCCTGTCTAACTGCCTGTTCTTCTAAAGGGAATGTTTGTTTGTTTGGTTGGTTTTTTTTTTTCCTGAGAGAAAATAAAAATGAGCCACATTGTGTTTTAAGTTTTTCCAATGAGAATGGTGTCTTGAGTTCCTTTCCCTTCTCCATAGCTAGGCCTGGGATTGTGTTGATTATGTGTGAGTGAGCATGTGTGTTGCATGTGTGTATATGTGCAGACAGACAGACAGAAGATACACTCCATCCTAAGGGCCTTCTGTCCTCCCAGGACAGGATTGGGTTTCACCAGAGTCCAAATACTCATGCAGATGCCCCCAGACCTATGTTTCTGTGAGTCTCCCTACCACAGGCAGTGTAGGAGGAGGGGGTCTTTGCCCAGCTTCTCCCCCACAGGGTCCTGTCCCTTCCAGCCCAGGCATTCCCAGTGAGAAGACCTAGCTCATCCCTCCCATGCTTCCTTCCTAACCTCTTGAGAGGAAGATCTCCCTGGAGATCATCTTCCCAGAACTCCGTCTCCCAACCCCTGCTCCACCTGTCAGCTGAGAGGTCACAGAGGTATCTGGACTGGGGCTGAACTGGCTTCTCCTGAGTCACCCTTCACCTTCCTCCCAGGACAGAAATCTGTGAGGAATATGCCGCTGTCTCGCTCCGACACTGGCCTCTGGGGCCCCTGGTCGAGGATGCAGTCAGTGCCTGCTCCCGTGAGGGTGGTCTGCCTGGGGTTGGCAGGGAGCTTGTTTCCCGTCGGGCTCTGAGGGCCAGTTTGGTCTCACTCACGTAATCCTCACACAACCCTGGTGTCTTGGTTACTTTCCTCTCATTGCTGAGACAAAATACCTGATACCCGAAGTTAAAGAGGGAAAGGTTTATTTAGCTCACAGTTTGTAGAGGTTTCAGACCATTATCAGCTGGCTCGAAGGCCAGGTGGAGTGGCAGACAAAAGGTAGCAGAGCAACAAGGGAGCTTAACAGCATCTTTCTGCCCCCCTTTTTTCCTTCAGTTTATATACTTTTATTTATTTATTTATTTTACAGTAGTTTTGGGGGGGTTTTTTTTCCCATTAAGTTTATTGGTACATTTTAGGTATAAAATACAGTTACATTCATCTTTGGGATCTTGTACCATTACATGAGTATCTTGGTTCTTATTTTTTCCCCATTCCTAGCCCTCCCTTCACCCCCTCCACCCTTCCCTATTTGCAAAGACTTTGTTTCCATTTCTCATATTTTTTCTGTTCCCTTCTTTCCTTTCCCCTACCCCTCCCCACTTCCCCTGCTCCTTTAGACCTTTTCTTCCTATTACACAATATCAATTATACATTTTTTAAATTACAATATCAAGATCTAGGAGACATTACTACAGATTTTACAGAATTTGAAAGGAGATAGAAAGCATATTTCAAAAATCTGTTTTGAAATAAATTTGACAACTTCTAAGAAGTACCTTGGAAGACAAATTAATGAAACTAACTCTGGAGGAAATATAAAATTTGAATAGCACCTATTAAAGAAAGTATATTCCTAGCTTGAAAACCTACCTATATGATAACAGCAGGCTCATATACATTTTAACTGATAAATTATATCAAACATTTAAAGCAGAAAAAAGAAGGAACACTTCTCCCCTCATTTTAGGAACTCAACATCGTGTTAATCCTAAAACTGGATAAAGATAATAGAAGAAAAAAGTATGAACATAGATAGAAATTTGTTGAACAGAACAAACTATTAGAAGTCTGATCTGGCAGGATGTAGAAAGTGGTTTTGCTATAGGGATGACAGTGTTGGTTCAGCATTGGAAGATCCACCCCCAGAAGTCATCATTTTAACAGAGGAAAGGAAAAAGCCATATAATCCTGTCAGTAGTTGGAGAAAAAGTATCGGACTAAATTCCACAGCTGTTCATGGTAAAAGCTATCAGGAGACTAGAAGTAGAACAGAACCTTCTCAACAGAGAGATGTTCTCCATACTTCCAGTGAGAACGCCTTATATGAATGGAGAAGATACAATGCTTTCTCCTTAAGGTGGGGAACAAGGGCCTTTCTGCCCCTTTTATCTTACCCAGGCTGCTTGGGGTGGGTAGCACTCACACCCTTAATCCTAGTGTCCTTGAGCCTAGTGTTGCACCATGAATCAATTCTAATGTCACACACTCTACATCCAGCCACCTCTGAAAAAGCCCCACCTATGACTGCATGAGGCTTTGGAGGGACATCTAGACACTGTCCATAAGACCTGAGAACTCCTTTTTACAGATGATTAGTTAGCTCAGAGAGGTTAAGTCCTTGCCCCAGGTCACACAACTAGTAAGTGGCAGAAGTGAACTTGAAACCTAGGTCTGTTTGATTGTGAAATCCGTGCTCCCCCCACCCTTTCTTTAATGGATGATGAACTATTTCAAACAAACTGAAAAGCATGAAATAGTACCATGTCCTCACCACTCTACTTAAGAAATGAAGCAACTGGGGCCGGGGATGTAGCCTTCTGCTGCGCAAGTGCAAGGACCCGAGTTCGATCCCCAGTACCAAAAAAAAAAAGAAATGAAACAACTACAGTTGTTGCATCTGACCCCTCCTGATACTATCCTGTGCCGGATCTTGAAGACAACCACTCCCCTGAATGTACTTTTGTTCCAGGGTGCATCTTTACATTTTCATTATGTGGTAGTGTGTGTAAGTTGCTCTAGCTATCTTTAACACCCATGAATCAGAGGTCCTTCCAAGCTGCTGCACAGGAGAAGCATCTGGAAGTCCGTCCCGAAGCCTGAGCCCTTTGCCAGAGACCCTGGATGAACACGCCCATCCACGCCTCTTCCCTCCCTCCTCCTGTGCTGTGGGTCTGTGGTGTCATCAGAGAGTGAGGCAGTGGCCTGGGTGTGCTGAGGAGGCCAACAGCAAGGATGCCGGTAGTCCTCATGACCAGTCAGTGGAGAAAAGACTAGAAAGAGAACCACAAAGGCAGGGAAGAAAGAAGCATCTTTGCTCCAGTCTTTTGCAAGGCCTTGGGAATTGAGATTTGGGTGCCGGGCTATAGAGGTATAGGCTTTGGGGTTGGTGAGGGCTTTACAAAGGCTTCCAGGGAACAAGTGCACCCCAAGTCCTTTCAGGGCCAGCCCCAGCCCAGCTCTGGAGCCCAGAGCTCCTTGGGTCCTCAGCGGTCCAGTGTCCCATCCCCACACCCTCCCCATGTGGGCTCCCACTCTGAGCTGGCCTTGAGTGTGAGCACACAGGCACAGACACATACGCATGTCACTCCTCTGACCCCCAGACAACACAAGAGAGCACACATGGACATACTCACTTCTAGTGCCCACCTCAGCAAGACGAAGTGCCCACAGAGGAGGTTGGAAGACTGGTGAAGAGCATGAGAACTGCTCAGCCTCGTGGGGTACAGACACGTATCTGGCCCCATCCACACTGGGCCAGGCTGCGGTGGCCCTATGGTAGGGCACCTCTGCTCTCTCCCTGCTCTTCTCAAAGGGCTGGAAGTGGATAAAACGCTTCAAATGTTCTTTTCTGAACACACAGACCCCCCCCCCGACACACACACACAGATCCATGTCTAGGGCAGGTGTGGCCAGGCCACAGCAATGCCCAAGAGTAGGCTCAGGATGGCTTGGCCTAGGTTGTGGCCTGCACCCCTCCAGGCCCTCTGGACCCCTCCCCTCCCCTTCCTCTACTCACCACCCCCCAGATCAGGCCTTTCCTTTCCCCTCATCACAGAGCAGGAGATTGGGAGCTGGACTGAGCCACAGTTCTGTGTGCAGGGTGGCAAACCATAGCAGGACAGGGATAAGGGGTAGAGACACTGAGGGTGTAAGAAAAAATGAGCTGCTGTTGCCCTGTGGATGACACCCCAGAAATGGAAAGTTGGCTTTCTTTTCAGCTGCAGTGGGGACCCAGGAAAGAGGGGGATCTTAGAAGCCAGCTGCCCAGGGAATGGGCTGGTTCTATGCAGGCTGCCCTGCTCCTGTGATCACAGGAAAGGGGTCAGATCGGAGATCTGTGAATGCTGCTCATATCCTGCCATGATGTACAGTCTCCCCATTATTGCTAAGGCTCTTAGCTCGGTGGGGCTGCCAGGGCTCCCTTGAGCTGTCAGCTGGACAAACAGTGCCACCCTCTGCTGATGGGAGGTTATCTTAGTGGGGACAGAACCTGGGGAGGCTCAGGGTGCTTTGAGCCAAGGGGCTCCCTCCTTGGCCCTGATCTGCTCAGCAAGACTGTAAGGTTACCACCTTTTCCTCCTCCCCGTACCAATCCCTCCTGTGTCCCTAGGCACCCTGTCTTGAGGCTGTCACTCATCATTGGCAGTAACTGTCACTGTGAGGACAGCCCCTGTTCGGCTACAGAGCCAGAGGAGGAGGAGGAGGAGGCAGGAGGATCTTAGATGACTCACATGGCCTCCAAGGCAGGGGACAGACTCAGGGAACACAGGGCCTAGTGTGGGAAGCACCTCTGTAGACCTTCTCGCTCTGCCCTTTCTTTTTCCAGAGGACCCAAGCACAACTCCACCTGCTCTGCCTGTCACTATCAGAGAGTAGCTGAGGGGAGAGGCCTGAGGCTGGGCCGGTGACAGAGGCAACCAAAGCAAGGTCCTGCCCATGGGAGGTGCTTTGCATGGAGCCATCCACACTTCTTGGCCTTGTTCAACAAAGTGGTTTTTTTTTTTTAGGGGGTGGAGGATGTGCAGGATCAGCCATTTAAACTGGTACTCAGTGAAGCCCTAGGTAGGGATGGTTGGGACCTGAGGCCTCTCCTCTCTGTCCCCACCCAGCCACTCAGTGGTGTCTCCTGGCGCCCATTGAGACGGTGGGAGCAGAGGGGATGCAGAGGGAGTCAACAGTTGACTCAGGAAAATAAGCCAGATTCAGTTTGGTGAGGGTCAGAGGTGCAGGGGACGAAGCTTGGGGAGGTTCAGAGCAGGAAAAGATCACATGCACGGGGCAGTCAGGGTAGGCTTTCCAGAGGAGCCAGGTCAAATTGGTTTTGCCAAAGCTGGTGGTGGTCAGCTCCTGGGCCCCAGCTCTTCGAGATGTTGCTGTGGAAATAAGAACAAGGAAGATGACAGTAAATCTGCGCCTGATTTACATCTGCCTACACAGAATTATACCATCCATT